TAACTATGAATGTTTTTATAAGTATGTAGCTAATGTAGTATTATGTATATATAATTAACTATGAATGTTTTTAAAAGTATGTAGCTAATGCAGTATATTATGTATATATAATTAACTATGAATGTTTTTATAAGTATGTAGCAAATGTAGTATTATATATATAAAATTAACTATGAATGTTTTTATAAGTATGTAGCTAATGTAGCATTATGTATATATAATTAACTATGAATTTTTTTATAAGTATGTAGCTAATGTAGTATTATGTATATATAATTAACTATGAATGTTTTTATAAGTATGTAGCTAATGCAGTATATTATGTATATATAATTAACTATGAATGTTTTTATAAGTATGTAGCTAATGTAGTATTATGTATATATAATTAACTATGAATGTTTTTATAAGTATGTAGCTAATGTAGTATTATGTATATAACTTACTATGAATGTTTATATATTATTGCTTCAGGGTCTATTTTAAGACTTAATGTTTGTTTTATTCATTGTGTTGCACAAATAGAACGTTTAAACAGAAAAATGTGAAATGTTCATTAAAAAAGCGAATATAAAATGCCAGATGGTATTTTTATCAGGAAAATTTAAATTCAAATATTTCGCTCTTAATTTTAACCTCGCCCACACCATCCTTAATAATAAAATGTACATGAAATCTGAATTATTTAAAGGTTAGGTTAGGTTCAGTTCAGCTACACATTCTGAGCCGAGCGCTGCGACTAGAACTGGCTAGGGGGCCGGGCAGGGGTCGGGCGGGGGCCGGGCGGGGGTCCCAAAATCCTTCTCTTGGAAATTACCAAGATTTTAAATTATCTTTATGAAAAACTTGAATGAATGTCAATGAAGGGACACCCTGTACGTGGTCGAACAGTCTCTAAGATTTTACGACATTTTTTAAAAAAGTTTTTTTTTAAATGGAAAAAACTCAATGTTTTTGGGCTTCATCTTTCTTATAAGCGATCTACAAATTAATTTGTCATGTGATCCTGCAAAATTAAAATAAAAATATTTTGAGAATCCGCTTGGATGATTTAATTAGAATTTTTTACTCACAAAATACTTGAACCAAATCAAATATACCTGAAGCTTCTTTTAATAATAAATAGGGTATACTGCAGTTTCTGGGAGAAATATAATAGACAAAACTCAAAGAGCTGTCCCAACCGGGGTCAGGTAACCGCTGAAAAAGTTTTCGGAAATAAAGTCCTGAATTTTCGCACTAAAAAAGTCCTCTGGTAAAAAAGTCCGAGGAATCTAAAACTCAGGACTTTATTTCCAGCGACATCTCGTCCTGGGACTTCAGAAAATTGGGATTTTTTATCAAAGTTTTTATTTCCAGGTTTATATTTTCCAGAAAATTTTTTTCCGGTGACTTTCTTACATAGATTCAATACATAGATTGGGGGGAAATATTACTATTTCAACCGAGAATAAAATGGGTTGTAGTTAGGGTTTTCAGCGAAAAGGGAAAATCGTTTCTCGAAAATGTATTTAAGCGAAAAAAATTAGTTTTCATCGAAAATTTCGCATTTTTCCACATTTCGTTCTTTCGCGAAAAATGCGAAAATTTTCGCTATTTTCGCGAAATTTCGCTTAAATCTGTTTCGTGAAAAGATGTGAAATTTTCGCAAAATAATAAATGGGGAAATTTTGCGAAAAAATGCGAAAATTTTGTGAAAAATAATGAGGAAGAGAAATTATTATAATAAATCTGTTGAGCTCTCAGAGCAGAGAATTTCACAAGTTTTTTATGTGCAATTAATTGTTGCAGCTACAAAAAGTTATAGGTTTTCGCGTAATTTATTTTCGCAAAAAAATGCAAAATTTGCGAAAAAGTTTATGAAATAAAAACAAAATTTTCGCATTTTTCACAATTTTTTTCGCAGGAAATCCTAGTTGTAGTCGTTTGTACTCTCAAGACACTCACATATATTTTAAGCCTCTGGTAGAAAAGTGTAATTTTAAAAAGAGGTCAATGCCCGATTCACAACGGTTCCTTTGAAATCTTAAATTAATCAATTTAACGTTGAAGATAATTGTGAAAATTTCTCCAAGAAATGCGCAAGTCACTTTTGCATAGAAACTACAAATAAAAATAAACAGTTTTCCATAACAAAAACATTGATATCTAATTCAAACTTGGTCAGACAAAGCTTTTAGGGATATTGTACGTGATCCTTACATATCTTTAAACTAATGAAAGTAACAAAATTAAATACAGTTTTCCTGCAATACTTTACATGTTTATTATTTCTTAAACAATGGACCTATGATCAACGTTAATTGGTTATGTACTGTGTACTGCAGAACAGTGGAAGTAAAGGAGTTGAATAACGTACTGCAACCTCCTCCACCACCAGGGGTAAACCAGTTAAACAAGGAAATCAACAAGCAACATGTTTAAATTAGTTTTGTATCGCATACAAGTAACCCCTATAGGGGAGAGGGTAAAGACCCATCATGAACTACGCGAAATGACTTCCAGAGCCTCCTGTTACGCAGAATGACCTCCAAGCCCTGCAAAATCATAACCTTGCCTCTCACTATGTCTCCGAGCCTCTGCCATCCAGTCTCCGCGCCTCGCATTTATCTCGGAAGCTTTGAGACGTAGCGAGAGGCGCAGAGAAAGTTTCGTGGGGCTTGGAGGTTATTATGCGTATTTGGAGGCTCCGGAGCTTCACCCCCTTCCCCCTTTACTATTTTACTCTTTTCCTTTGAAATAATTTGCAGTACACATTTCTGCGGCTCTTCTACCGTCGTATTTATAAAGCAAGAAATACTGTCTTTTTGATTTTGACTTTTAAGGATTTTCATTAACCGCATTATACTTTTTTTTAAATACTACACCCCATGATGTATATTTCATTAAATTTCAATACGGGATTTTTTCCAATATTAACAGATTGTTTCATTTTTTATTAATTTTTTAAATATAACATAAATTATTTGTTGATTTTGTTTCAGGAAAGAATAGTCAGGAAAGCGATTAAACCTCCATCTACAGGTTTAATTAAACCTCCATCTGCAGGTTTAATTAAACCTCCATCTGCAGGTTTAATTAAACCTCCATCAACAGGTTTAATTAAACCTCCATCTACAGGTTTAATTAAGCCTCCATCTACAGGTTTAATTAAACCTCCATCTACAGGTTTACAGGTTTAATTAAACCTCCATCTACAGGTTTAATTAAGCCTCCATCTACAGGTTTAATTAAACCTCCATCTACAGGTTTGTTTAAACCTCCATCTACAGGTTTAATTAAACCTCCATTTACAGGATTAATTAAACCTCCATCTACAGGTTCTATTAAACCTTCATAAAAAGGTTTAATTAAACCTCCATCTAAAGGTTTAACTAAACCTCCATATACAGGTTTAACTAAACCTCCATCTACAGTTTAATTAAACCTCTCGCTACAGATTTAATCAAACCTCCATCTACAGGTTTAACTAATCCTCGGAAACTCTTTAAATTTGTAATTTGCAATTATTATATGTAATATTGTTAAGCTATGTTAATCAAAACAATTTTATGCATATAACATATAACAATCCACTGTATTTTCTATTCAGGTCTGAAATCTGGAAATTCTGAGGCTTCTAATAGAGCTACGGATAGATATATAATAAGTAAACTTGTCTTTACCTCTTATTAAAAACTGAAGAAAAACTGATCAATGGTTTAATTTACTTGCTGATTGGGCATTTTATTTTTCCTTTCATTGAAAAATGATTCATTTCATTTTACAAAAAAATATTATAGAGTAGGCTTTTAATATATATTATATTGAATTATATTGTATAGGCTTTAAGGGTGCTAAACATTTCCAAATATTTTGAAAGGAATTTTTCATTTTTTATTTTTTAAGTTTTTTTCACCAACTCAAATTTGCTAGCTTCTAAATCATTGCAACCTGATGGTGTAAACCTTTGATATTTCATAATCAGACTGTTTGATCTAGCAGAATTCATAGTTTGACTTGCAAAAAATAAGAGTTTTAGAGCTGTGATAATACAAACAAAGTAAAAAATACAACCTATTTTCTGAAAAAAATGGTTGCAACATTTTTTTTAAGGACTACTGCAAAACCTGCACTCCAAGGTGTCCCAGCTGGCAGAACAAAAGAAAAGATCAACGCTTGAAAATGTCCAAGATCAATTAGGAAACATTTACTTTTCTTGTAAAACTGATCTCAAATGAGATGAATTGTTTAAATGTCTTTAAAACTCTAAAATTCTTCCAAGGAAATTTAAGAAACATTGAATCATTAGATGTTTAACTTTTTTTCGGTGGCCGATTTGTTTTTACACATTTTGTTTTAAAACCCTAGATAAAACCAAGATTATATTGCAAGGAAATTTATTTCAGAGGTGTACGCATCTTTTGTACCGCAGTGTACTGTCTCTGGGCGGTAATGTATACACAAGACGGATGGCATAGCCTGCCATTGGATCCATCTTTCACATAAAAAATCAATGAAATATTCTGGTCATAGGAAACTATTATGTGAATTATTAAAATTTTCAGAAGTCAATGCTTTTATCCTCCTCGGATACTAAACGAACACTGATGCATCTATTCTTGTTTACAAATTCCGCCCAGAGAGAACTGGTTCCAATATGTACGCAGAGTATACGCAACTGCAATTAACTTTCCTTGCATGAGTACCTTGCATTTGACAAACAAATACCGCACTTCAGTTCTCGCCCAAGTCCTGCAAGCTTGTTCATTATATGATGACCTGCGCGTACTCAATCAAAGGAATTGAGCCTTTGCCACAAACTCTGATTTTATAATACCTATATCTTTGCAACCCTATGTCGTAGACCCTAGATATTTCAAACTATGCCTTCTGTAAGATCAAATAACCCAAGTTTGAAATATGAAAGGTTTGCATTATCAGACTAGAAAGATAAAGAAATTAGAAAATTTAAGTTTGTGGCAAAGACTCAATTCCTTTCTAAAATTTAAAAGAGTATCATTGAACCAAACTTCCGAGTTTCCTTTATGGAGGATTAACATTTTTTAGATTTTGATTTAAAAGATTCAACAAAAATGTAGAATATGAAGCTACTGAATAAAATAATATTTCGTAAAACCCGGGTTTCAAAACTGATTTTCATATCGATACCCTGTTTTGGGCTCTGTACAATCAGTACAATCTATATTAAATCTAGCGTACATTGCCAACCCCTGTCTAAAACCAATTACGAAGCATATTTAGCAAATAGCTGAAGTGCATGGCGTTGTCCACGTAGTTTTTTTTTATTTTGAAGAAAAAAAATTACGATATTAACCTATTTTACTCCTTGGGTACCCATGGGTTCCCTCAACAAATTTTAGCCCATTCGTTCCAGCCGTTTGGCCAGCTAGCTAACATTTAAACATACAAATATACAAATAAATATATATATGAGCGAAAAGCTTTATTATAAAAATTAAAACGAAAAGAGTTAATGTTCATGATATAGTAGAACAATATCAACCCAGTTCATCACTTGCTCACCAACCTTTCACCAGAAATATTCAGGTATATACACTATAGAGGGTTATTTACGAATGAGAATCTCAGTCGTTGAACGATATGCATATAAGACATCTATCTGATGTTCCTGTCTCGAAATAAAAAAAAAACTCTGTCAAAATTATGCAAAAATTCATATATATATAATTTTGGTTTAAACAGATCATGCATATTCAGCAAATACGCAACCAACCTGAAAACGATTTATCCCACAGAAGCCTGAGAATCTCAGGTTTGCTCCCATTATAATTTTTTAATTTTTATTTCATATAGTCCGTATTCCGTCACCAGCACTTCAGCCAATGGCAGTGTAGAATACTGGTCACGTGATACAGACGGAAATCGAGACAGAAACATCAGATAGATGTTTTAGATGTATCGTTCAACGCCTGAGATTCTCAGGTTTCATCCTATACCCCCTTTAATGTTTCCTTACAGTCCCTATAAAAACGACCTCAAATTTGTAACTGCAACTGCAAGACAGCTTAAAAATAGTTGACAAAGAAATTAATAAATAAGTGTCAGCAACAGCAAAACTTTAATTTAATAATCAGTTATAAATTAATGTTGTCCTTTTGTCTTGGCTAACCCTAAACTTTATTTTTAGGATGCCTCTGTTTACACAACAAACATAACTACTGGGTTTCAGGCCCCGCTGTACACTACAGAGAGAATAACCGGTTCAGGAAGAGTTATATTTCCAGATGAATTTGATAAACTGGAACAGTTAAAGTACAAAAAGCAACCATTGGAGAGTAATTTTTATCAAGATAAAAATAAGGAAAAATTCAATGATCAAAATAGTGCTCCAGGGATGAACCTCAAAGAAAAAGATCTTAGCGTTGAAGATCGAAAACTGAAAATATTCCAATTAATTCAAGAACAACGGGATTTACTTCTTAAAGCCATGGATGAGGATGAAAAAGATGAATTTAACAAAATCCTCAATTATCAGAAGAGAGAAAATATTTATGATTTTCTTCAGGAAAGTTATCTTAAGAAACTGCAGAAGAAATCTTTTATCGGACCATTACTGCAGCAAGAAACAAATGAGACATCAGTTACTGTCAGAGAAGCTGAATTTAATAATAATCATGAACTTCAATCCAACAGTACTGATTTTATTGGACCTTTACTTCAGAACAAGAACATACATGCATACTTTCTAACTGGGGACATTGAACCAGCCCCTGATCAAACCAGGGTATCAGTTTCTCTTGAAAACAATCAGATTTCGCTATCCTTGGACAATTCAGATCCCACGGTTCTCAGCGAGGACTCCGCCATCAAGTCCGAGACGACTGCAGAGAAGGATCAGGAAGAAATTTTAGGCCTTGAGGAGGTTTATCTAGGAGATGTCAAGTCAAATCTTAAAATCAAAAAAAGAGGGAAAAATGAAAAAGAGGATAATTCAGACCAGAAATATGAAAATGTCATGAATGAGACACCAAAGGTAGAAATGGGCGCATACAGTTTTTTTTCATTTTTAGCTTAATGTTTATTCAGTAAAAAAATATCATTTTTTTCAAAATCTTTGAAAAAATTTGTTCGGTCAGTTTAGAAATCGTTTAGAAATAGTTCAAACAATTTTAAATCCTTAATTTTTTTTAGATTTCAGATTTTCCTGAACAATCCAAGTTGTACGTTCATCGTTTCTTTTTCTGAACGCCACTATTGTTCACAAAAAAAAAAGTTTATTTTCAAAAGTTGTGTTCAATTTCAAAAGTTTTGTCAATCTCAAAAGTTTTGTTCGTTCACAAAAATGTTGTTCGTTCACAGAAATGTTGTTCGTTCACAAAAACAATGCCCATCTCTAACCACAGGAAAGTGATGTAACAGATGCTTATGATCACACAGATAGTGGAAGTATCGAAAGTATGGATAAATTTAGAGAATTATTAAAAACATTAATAATCCCATCAACTGAATATGAAGCAACAACTCCATCATTTCCAATCAACGAGAAGATAAAGACAAATAGTTATCAATATTCTCATTTTGTAGTGGATCAAAGTTACTGATTGCTTTTAGAAATGTTCTTGTAATTTTGTATTTAAAAAATTATGTTTATTTTTGTATTCTAGCACTTACTGATCAAACATTGTTTTTGAAAAGTTTATTTGTAATTTTGTATTTTCTGTGAAAAATATCTAGCTCTTTATATTCTGGGACTTTAAAGTGAGCTTTAGTCCTAATCTTGATATTTTATAATTTACTTTTTAGTTTTGATGCAGCCATTAATAAACCAAATTATATTTACATGATTTAAACCCTTTAGTAAAAGTAAATTCAATCTAAAGTCTGACCGCGTCAACCTTGTTGCACCGGCTAGTCCTATTAAGTGTCTGCTTTATATACCCAATGTCCAGGCGATACAGTACAAACTGGCACCGGAAAGGTTAACCCGGCTCGGAAATTCAAATGTACTACGGCTGCCCGTGTAATTCGTAAATTTTCAAAATAATAAGAAACTTGAAACACTTTTAAAAATCTTTATTTGGTCTTTGATAATGTTCCACGTAAACCATAGACAATATGCTTATGCAGATACAAGCAAGACAAAATGTTTATACAGTTACAAACAAGACAATATGTTTATACAGTTACAAACAAGACAATATGTTTATACAGATACAAACAAGACAATATGTTTATACAGTTACAAACAAGACAATATGTTTATACAGTTACAAACAAGACAATATGTTTATACAGTTACAAACAAGACAAAATGTTTATACAGTTACAAACAAGACAATATGTTTATACAGTTACAAACAAGACAAAATGTTTATGCAGTTACAAACAAGACAATATGCTTATGCAGTTACAAACAAGACAAAATGTTTATACAGTTACAAACAAGACAAAATGTTTATGCAGTTACAAACAAGACAATATGCATATGCAGTTACAAACAAGACAAAATGTTTATACAGTTACAAACAAGACAAAATGTTTATACAGTTACAAACAAGCCAATATGCTTATGAAGTTACAAACAAGACAAAATGTAACCATGTAGTTTTAGATTTTGGAATTATTTCACAAGTATAAATAGTTTAGATAAATATAAAGATATATTGTTGTTGACAGATAACAGCAACACACCAGATAAACTTGAATAATAGGCCCGTCGGAATTCTGGTGCGGGGATATTTATTCTCCCCGGACAAATCTTCCCCGGTTGGCCGCAAACACACACAACAGAGTAACCCCGTCTCAAGAAAATCGATAACAAAAGCTTTATTTCCTTAAAAAATAACATAAATTATAGATCATGGTTATTTGTACAATGTACTTGTACAATGTTATAATGAATGTTAATAATGGAAAAAATCTTACGATTTATTAGGGGATGATAAAGGGTAACTTTTTGTTGATCAGTGTTGAAGCACGTTTTTTTGTTAAAACTTCTGAAATAAATGACAGTTGAATATTTAACGAAATTCACTAATTCTTCATATGAAAATATTCTTGTTTAACTTTTATGGGTTCACAATAATCGTAAGTGTTTTAGGCTCCGTCCCCGGAGTACAAAGAAAATGGGGGCTGAAATTATTTGGTTTGGTGTCTCCGAGAGGGGATTTTAAGTTGAAGACGACATTACACGGAGGTCTTAAGTTAATGGTTAACAATTGTGTGTTTTTGAATAAAAATTGTATTTAAAGGGATTGTAAACGTAATTTACACTGACTCTTCATATATTGAGTGACATGTCTGATTCACATTGTTATCTTTTAAACCTTTCTTTTTGATCAACACTCATTTGGAAATCTGATTATTTTTTATTGTTGTTTTGCTATGAAAGTGACTTGTATTATATGCTTACAGAGTTAATTATCAGAATTAAATACTTTTCATGGTAGAGATTGTCAGTTGAAGTAAAAAAATCCCGAAAATTCTTGCAATTACAGTTAACAAGTGTTCCATAGATTAATAATAAGGATAAGTGTGGGTCCTGTCCTTTAAGTTAATCTAACTAGCAATTAATAAATAGTGGGAAAAACGGTAAAAAATTGACAATTTTAAATTCAAGAAAATTTCATGTATGATTAAAATCTTAATAGTTTTATCATAACTCCTCATATGCCAGGGCTATTGAAAGAACAAAAATGCACGTAACCGGAAAAAATAGTTTTTCTCATGCATGTGTCACAAAGATATACAAGATCTATCTAAGATGTGTCACTATAGTTTCAGTAGAAGTAAATATTTCCATTTACAGTTGGCGCCGATTGAAGGATTCGTATCTCTAAATGGATAATTAGATAGATAGAAAGATAGATGTTACCGCCATGCAATTTCTATTGGTTCAGAATAGACAACAAACACATGACTTAACCATGATTGGATCAGGCGCTAATAGACTCATCACACAGGAGTGGTGTGCGGAGCTACGATGTCACTAAGGCACATCAGTAATGTCGCTTAAATACAACCTTCTCCTTTTCTGTCTAGTTTTTAGCGCACCAGAACAACTTAATGAAATGCATTTCTTCATACTTAAAGGGACTGTATAGGAAAAATGATAGGGGTAGAGGCTGAAAGCTATTCAATTTAGCTCTTGATCGCGACTCATGAAAATTATATCTGATGTTTTCGTACAGAATAAAATATATATTAGAGGGGAATTTACTAAAAAAAAGTGTAAAACGACCATTTTGTATTGTTTCCATACTGCAGGTGTACTTCACATATTTAAGTTATATAACCTTTTGGGCCCTGGAATATCATTTTATAGAAAATCTAAAATTAATATTAAAAGAAAACCAAATTATGAAATAGGCTGGTGTCATAATTGACCAATGAATCATTTCGCATAGACTCTATGCCTTTCACTTTACAAACGATGATTTTCCGTTATAACTATAAATCAAATGGTGTTTTTTATTCACCTAATTCATTTTAAAGTTTATTTAACAGCTTTAAAAAATTCGAAATTGAAATGGATAGTCTAGGGAACAAACTGTATTATTGTACTCTACTGCATATAATTTGTGAGCATTTACATGATTTGCACACTTTGAACTCCCTTTCAGGCTGAAAGGGACTGAAAAAATTCATACCGAGAGATTCTCTAAATTCCCCTTTAATATATATTCTATTCTCTTTGGATGTTCCTGTCTCGAGAAAATATAAAACTGTGTCAAATTTATACGAAAATTCATATATATACAATTTAGTATAGAAATGGTAGGTTAAAACAGATCATATTCAGCAAATATGCAACCAATCTAAGAACGAAGGTATCCCAGAGAAACCTAATTGTAACATAGGTTTTCTCCAATTATTTAAACTTTTATTTTAATTTTTAATAGATATAATTGATAATATTATTTATAAGTAGGTATGACGTCATCAGAACTCCAACCAATGGTAGTGTAGTATATTGGTCAGGTGATACAGACAAAGACATGTGACCAGTATACTGCATTTTCATTGGTGGAAGTTCTGCTGCATTTTATGAATTTTCATATAAATTTGACACAGTTTTTTATCAATTTCTCGAGACACAGGAACACACAATATAGCTTTCATGGGTCGCGATCAAGAGTTAAAGTGAATAGCTTTCAGCCTATACCAACTTTTATTGTTCTTTTACAGTCCCTTTAAAATATATCTTTATATATTCCCCGCTTTTTTATAAATATACTAATTGCACTTTTGTGAGTTCCAATTGACGTATTGTGTCAACATTTATTCAAGCACAGTACCATGATTGATTAATACTAAATATGTTTAAATAAGGGTATAATTGTAGTAGTACTAAGTACTAAGAGTACTTTATATATATATATATAAATCCCGCTTTTTTATAAATATACTAATTGCACCTTTATGAGTTTTAATTTACGTATTGAGTCAACAATTATTCAATCACCGAAGCATGATTGATTAATAATTAATATGTTTATATTAGGGTATAATTGTATTACTAAGAGTACTATAAGAAGGCACATTTTTTATTTAACTAACACAGAAGAATGAATGAGAAATACAAGTCTAATGTTTTTTTTAAATTCAGAGAAAATTCAACCATTAACTATTAAAGAGAAAATCATTTGCTAAATTGAAAAGATTTCAATTTATTCAGAGCTGAAAACTTTAAAATAGGATATCCTTAATCCCGATTGCACTCCTGTATGCTGAGTCCATTAGCGCCTGATCAGGGTTTAGTCATGTGTTTGTTGTCTATTCTGAACCAATAAAAATTGTAAGGCGGTAACATCTATCTTTCTATCTATCTCAATATCCAATCAGAGATATGAATCCTTTAATTGGTGCTATCAGTAAATGGAAATATTTACTACTACTGAAACTATAGTGATCGGTTAATTAATCTGGAGGTTAATAACAAAAGGAGAAGAAGCGTTATTTATTCTCGTGATTAAGAAAATGAATTGATCAAGCATTAAACTCGATATCCATCATTCTGAAGTTCCCAGCTATACATACACCATAGTTTCAGTAGAAGTAAATATTTCCATTTACAGTTAGTGCCGATGAAAGGATTCATATCTCTGATTGGATAATAAGATAGATAAAAAGATAGATGTTACCGCCTTACAATTTCTATTGGTTCAGAATAGACAACAAACACATGACTGAACCCTGATTGGAGCAGGTGTTAATGAACTCGACATACAGGAGTGCATAGCTGGGAACTTTTGAATGGTAGATATCGGGATTAATGCTTGATTCACTCTTTTTCTTAAGCTCTAGATTAAATAATGCTTTTTCTCCTCTTGTAATTGATCTCCAGATTAAGTAACCGATCGGGATTAAGGATATTTCATTCTAAAGTTTTCAGCTCAGATTGTATTTCTATGTTCCCTTTCAATTTTCTCGAACACTCCCATTAAGTATCAATTATTCAAACATTATACACATATCAAGATCCAATATCCACTTACCCAAACCTATTTACCTGAATATTATAGAATATATTTTTACTGATTATATGTTAATAGATTCATAGATTAATATCAGGGGAAGTCTCTCTTTAACAATTTATAGTTTGTCAGTATATTTATTAGATGTGCATGAAACCGACAATGCATAAGATTAGATGTACATGAAACCGACGTATAAGATTAGATGTACATGAAACCGACAATGTATAAGATTAGATGTACATGAAACCGACAATGTATAAGATTAGATGTACATGAAACCGACAATGTATAAGATTGTAAAGACGGCCTACAATATAGTTTAAGTAGAAGTAAATATTTCCATTTACTGATACCGCCGATTGAAGGATTCATATCTCTGATTGGAAAATGAGATAGATAGAAAGATAGATGTTACCTCCATACTATTTCTATTGGTTCAGAATAGACAACAAACACATGACTGAACCTTGATTGGATCAGGCGCTAATGGACTTGGCATGCAGGAGTGCCTAAAGATCTTAAAATCTAAGAATCCCAAAGTTTCTCTGCTTTGAATGTAGGCTTTTTATGACTTGTTTAATGGTTTAGTAAAGAAAGAAAGGAACAGTGGGAATCCTAAATATAAGGAAACTTATCAATTCTGGACAGTCGTCTGTCTCATCCTTAACCCTGCAGTATACAGTATTGGTAGAAAAGTTTATACTTTAAATTTTGCTTTGAATATGGTTTGCAACAATTTTATCTTAAGAACAGATATAAGGAAAACGAACCAAAAACAGATACTTCAAAAAACTACAAAAAAAATGTCTGTATATTTGGTAATCTTTGACTTTAGGACTCAGACATGCAACAATCCGATCATATGAATCCAATATAAAGTACATTATATCATAAATTATAAATTACTGGTAATTTCTTGTCACATTTATCATTTTTCCATGGTTTATTAAAAGCTTTCATGAGTCTACTACGTCATGTCTATAAATGTTGGTAAAAGGGTACATACATTACATACAGGGTGTCCCAACAGTATGGTTTAGTCTACTGAGAATACTACGTCATGTTTTCAAATGTTGGTAATAGGACACACATTACATACAAGGTGTCCCAATAGTATGGTTTAGTCTACTGAGAATACTACATCATGTTTTCAAATGTTGGTAAAAGGATACATACATTACATACAAGGTGTCCCAACAGTATGGTTTAGTCTACTGAGAATACTACGTCATGTTTTCAAATGTTGGTAATAGGACACACATTACATACAGGGTGTCCCAATAGTATGGTTTAGTCTAGTGAGAATACTACGTCATGTTTATAAATGTTGGTAAAAGGATACATACAATACATACAAGGTGTCCCAATAGTATGGTTTAGTCTACTGAGAATACTACGTCATGTTTATAAATGTTGGTACTAGTACACACATTACATACAAGGTGTCCAACAGTATGGTTTAGTCTACTGAGAATACTACGTCATGTTTATAAATGTTGGTACTAGTACACACATTACATACAAGGTGTCCCAACAGTATGGTTTAGTCTACTGAGAATACTACGTCATGTTTATAAATGTTGGTAATAGGACACACATTACATACAAGGTGTCCCAATAGTATGGTTTAGTCTACTGAGAATACTACGTCATGTTTATAAATGTTCGTAATAGGACAAACATTACATACAAGGTGTCCCAATAGTATGGTTTAGTCTACTAAGAATACTACGTAATGTTTATAAATGTTGGTAATAGGACACACATTACATACAGGGTTGTTTGTTAACTTTCAAATAGCTCATCTTTTCTTAATTAAACAAAAAATGCTAAGGGTTGAGCATGTATAATTGCAACTCTATGAATGGAAATTTCCTTAAAATAACTTCTATGAAACACAATAAAGAAAAACACTGTCAAGCTATTGTACTGTAAACAAATACACTATGTCAACAAAAGCTTTCATCATAATAATAACCTTTGTGTATTCATGAATACACATTTTTTTCATGAATAACAGCTGTTTGCTGCAGAACGGAATTGAATATTTCCCGTATAAATTCAAATTTTCTTATCCCTATATCTTTGCAACCGAAGCTTTAAACCTTTGATATTTCAAAATTCGATTATTTGAATTAACAGAATTCCTAGTTTTAAACATCTAAGGACTAGAACATTGGGTTGAAAAGATATAGGGATTACAAATCTGAGTTTTTGTCAAGTACTTAGTTCCAAAGTGTTTCATGGTTGTTAAATAGCGTTGAATATACTCCACACTCTTCTTGGATTTTAATTCAAAGCCTGAATTTTCTTCTCTTTACCTTGCAGAATTTGATCCAACGTCATTATTTTAATCTAAAAATATTTTCGCAGGTATTTAAATTTTTGGTGATTTTTTTTAATTTTCAGAATCATTGGATTTTATTTGAAAAGCACATTTTTCCATTCATTATGGAAATATTTCTTCTTCGGGAACATGTCAGGCCTAGCAGTTTCTGACAATGATATTTACTACAGCTAAACTTTATAGGGAAGTTTAAGGAATGCCTTTTTCTATCTATAATCAAAAACTGGTTTAAAACTGGATTAAAACTGGTTTAAAACTGATTTAAAACTGGTTTAAAACTGGTTTAAAACTGGTTTAAAACTGGTTTAAAACTGGTTTAAAACTGGTTGAAACTGGTTTAAAACTGGTTTAAAACTGGTTTTAAACTGGTTTAAAAATGGTTTAAAACTGTTGCTTTTAGCCATACTAGGTTTCACATTTTTAAATAGTTTGTTTGCTTTCAACTGGTGGAAAAGTGCTTTTTGTAATTCAACATGCAGTCAGAGACAATTAAAGTTAAACGAAAAAAAAACAATTTGAACTAGGCACGTTCTTGAAATTTGAATAGCTGTAGTCCGGATCAATGTGAACCACATTATGAATTACAATGCCAAAAATATATCAATTTGTTATACTTTGAACCATATTAACATTTTCTGTAACATTTACCATGGAAAAACAAAATTTCCGATGATTCCAGGGATTTTTTCATGACGTCATGAAGTTCATGACAGATAATTTTAATTATGTTCTACAAGGTGTCTCAAAAATTATGGATAATAAGGGAAATTTTTCAAATCCATCTTAAATATATCTTCCACATACATTCGTGAATAAGCATAATATTCAAATGAACTTGCTTTATAATCTTTCTCCGTGTATAATCCTTTATCTTTTATACCTAATTATGTAGACCTTTGATATTAAACAAGGTTACAACATTTTTGAAATCCTAGCGATTCCAAAATGTGGCCTGCTGTTTTTACCCTTGAAAGGATTTAAAAAACAAAAATTCTGTTCATGTCGGAAAAAAGTAATTTTAATATTACAGAAATACGACATCGCTGAATGTGTTACCCCGTAAAAAAATGCTCTCTGTAAAAAACGATATTTCAATGTCATCACTTATTTTAGATTTTAATGTTATTTTTGGAACACCATGCTGTAGGTTCTGAAGAATATTATAGATCATGGTTTGCTGAAAGACATCATTTAATACAAGTTTATAATGCAAGGAAAGTTAATTGCAGTTGCGCGCGTATACTCTGCGTACATATTAAAACCAGTTCTCTCTGGGCGGAATTTGTAAACAAGAATAGATGCATCAGTGTTCGTTTTGTATCCGAGGAGGATAAAAGCATTGAATTGTGAAAATTTTGATAATTCACATAGTAGTTTCCTATGACCAGAATATTTTTTTGATTTTTTATGTGAAAAATGGATCCCATGTCAGGCTGTGACATCCGTCTTGTGTTTAAATTACCGCCCAGAGAGAGTACACTTCAGTACAAAAGATGAGTACACCTCTGAAATAACTTTCCTTGCTTTATAACCTTGATTTAATATATCTTTTATTCATAAATCTTTATAAGTCAGGTACTTTTCTTAATTTCCTCAAGTTTAGGACATACAAAAATTGATTTAATGAATTATTCATTTTAACCTTAATTTTACGTCCTCCTGCGTCTAACCGGCTAGTTTGAGGGATATGTCATTTATCCCAAGTTATTTTTCATCTCTATTAGAGCTTCTGTTCAAAGGGCTATAAGCGTAATTTCGAGTGAACCTTAATTCGCAAAGACCACATTATGCCAAGGGGAGTTATATAGTTAGTCCCATCGCACATAGTTTCAATAGAAGTAAATATTTCCATTTACTTATAGCGCCGCTTGAAGGATCCTTATCTCTAATTGGATAATGAGATAGATAGAAAGGTAGATGCTACCGCCATACTATTTCTATTGGTTCAGAATAGACAACAAACACATGACTAAACCCTAATTGGATCAGGCGCTAATGGACCGGCATACAGGAATGATTCTAATCATAACATGACTCGATCACTGGCAAGATTACGGTGGTGATGTCAATGCCCGATTTTCAACGGTATCCCTGAAAGCTTTTTCTAATCAAGCATGAATGTTTTTTTTTTCTTTTAACTTTTCATATCTCTTCTTTCCTCTTATAGTTCTAATTTAAAGTTTTAAAAAAAAATAGGTTCTTCTTCCCGTGGATTTTACGGTTCTGTTCTTATTCCAGAAAGCTGCAGAATATAGATCACAATTTATCCTATTAAACATAAATATTTTGCCTTTTTTCTTGAATACTTTTTTGTGGGCATTCACGTTTTGAATGAAAAACTCCTTAATTTTAAAGATTGTTAAATTATAGACCAAAACGCGTCTAATTTGAAATAGAGAAAACCGAATGCATCTTACTCTGGTTAGTCCGGGGTGTCTTGTCCTCAGTCCGTGCCGTCACAACACGTATTGTATATGCATTAAGTCGTACTGTCAAGTCAACCTACCCAGCGTGGACGTTTTATGCGACAAATGTAGCCTAGCGAGATCACAGTGTATGAGGTTAAAAAATAAAAAATTAAACTATATAGTGTGTGCAGTGTTCGAGAGAAGGGGGGGGGTTGTTTCAGTTATTAAAATCAGTGTGTGCAGTGTTCGAGAGAAGGGGAGGGGTGGTTTCAGTTATAATAATCATTATTTTTATCGTTAATTTTACCATTAGTGCACAATTTCATAACATACTATATTATATGTAAATACTTTTTGTGCGCTTCATCCATGATAATGCATTCTAAAATAAATTTACATAAAAATATAAAAATTTCCAACTATTTATTTTTTCTTTGTTCTGTCTAACATTAACATTTTACATTAAACTGAAGTTTATTTTATAATCAGCATTTATAAATATTGCTAACATTGTCCGTATACATTTTTAGTACTACGCTCTTTTTTTGGTCTATAGATTCTTTGCTTAAATACTTAAGAACTGTGCAGTACAGTGCAAATGGGGATACAGCCTTGTCCTTAAACGACCTGAAAAAAAATTTTGGAAAAAAAAGTTTTTGTGCAAATGAAATGTTTTCACCCGCTTGGTAATTGGTTAAAAAATACCAAGAAAAATAATTTGAACTTCAATGTTTTTATACATTTAAAAATTTTAACATTCTTAACATGTGTGCATTTATGAAAAAAGTTACGTTTATGTTTTGGGTGTCTGTTTGTTTTTATGTCTGAACATAACTCATGATGGAATGTTGTTTAGCTTAGCAACACTGGGTTCCCAAGCTAGTAATTGATAAATTGATAAATTAAATTTTTTTGAGCACAAGTCTTCTGCAAGTTCCAGCGAACGAAGATTTTCGCGAAAAATTCGAAATTTCGCGAAATTCGCATTTTTTGTTTCGCATTTGATAATGAAAACTGTTCTACAATGAGAACACATATTGCGTAAATATGATCTATTACGAAGCAAAAAAAAACACACTTTTATGATGTAGAAAAAAAAAATTTATTTTTTAAATTCTACCTTCCTAGCATGCTGTTCATGGAAGCAGAATTCATGTTCTCGTTCATCGAGATAAAAATGTTGTTGAATGAATCAACATTATTGTTGTTATTGTTGTTGTTGTTATTCTCGTTCTTCTTATTTTCGTTGTTGTTGCTGTTGGCAATATTGAAAACAAGCTGAAAAAAAACTAATTTTAGCTAATTATTTAAACATGTTAAGGTTTCCTTTCTCTCACTTATTTTCATTCGATAGAAATGCGCAAGATTTTAAAGATAAATGTATAATTTATGCTTAATCTAATAAAGCTTTTAAGGGTGCCGTTGTGAATCGAAATAGTGTGTTACCTGTATTATTAAAACAATTGAGGTGATGGTGGCCAATACTCCGCTGACAGTCGTCCCTTCGTCACGCCTTCATAGACAAAAAAGATTACGTTAATCTAAAGGTCCTGCTTATAAGTTCAGCTGTCCTAACTTTAGAACACATGTTTACGTTAATCTAAAGGTCCTGCTTATAAGTTCAGCTGTCCTAACTTTAGAACACATGTTTACGTTAATCTAAAGGTCCTGCTTATAAGTCCAGTTAGTCGACTAACTTTAGAACACATGTTTACCCTTTAAAGGGAGTGTTCGCGAAAAATGAAAGGGGTATAGGCTTAATGCGATAAGAAAGCGCTTTTGATCGCTACTAATCTTACTTATATATCTGTTGCATTTATAAGGAGAAAATTGTTAAAAACGTCTCATACCGAAGAACGTAGCGCCCATACAAATTAAATTGCAACATACGATTTAGACCGTAAAAAAATCAATTTAATTCAAAACAAATCATTCAGATATTACAACCTATAGTCATCGATTATCTTTCGCCACATTTGTATAAAGTTTATATTTTATAATATTTTTTAACTAATTTGTTTTGAATTTGATTATTTCTCTTGAGAAATAATCAAATAAGATTAGTAGCGATCAAAAGCGTATATAAAATCTCTTTCGCTATTTTTAACAGACTTCAAATGATAATTAGAATATGATAGTTTTACGTGAGGTATGGGGAGGGGAGTATTATATAAAAGGATTGTTTATCTTTAAAGCTTTGTCATGATCAAATATAAATTTGATATTTTTCATTCTTAACACTTATTTTTTTTAAATTGTGGTTTCTCAACAGAAGTGACTTGGGCATATCTTCTTCAGAAAAACATATAAAAATTATCAGAACGTAATTACTTTTAAACCTAGAAAAACGAAAATATCTCCCAAAATATTGATCAGATAAATGTTTCAAGGGTACCATTGAGAATCAGGCATTGCCACTAAAACTACGCTTACAGTCTCTTTTTATCTTTAAAAAATACATACTTACAACCAGGGAATCCAGAGTATACCCGGTAATCCTCCATGATCATCTGATATTCTCACATTTATTTTTTCTAAATAAGAAATAATAAAGATAAATGCCTAGCATTACTCTAATCTACAGTCATGACTATATATCTGTTAAGAACTGTATTTTTTACCTGTCTATTCTAACTCCAGCACTACTCAAATATATAACTGTATTTAAGGTGAATTCTTTGGACATTTCATTTGTAGAAAGATATTTCATAGACGGGAATTTCATAGATAACAAACCATAGATAGGACATTTAATAAATAAGATATTCATAGATACAGGATATTTCATAGAATGGACTTTTCAGGGAAGATTTGTCATTGAAATGTCTTCTAATAAATGTCCTTTCTATGAAATGTCCCATATATGAAATGTCCCATATATGAAATGTCCCATCTAGGAAATGTCCTATCTATGAAATGTCCTATCTATGAAATGTCCCAAAACTGTATTTAAAATATCCAATGTCCCAATGAAGAGACTGTATAGAGCGGTGTATGTCCGATTCACAACAAATTGTGCTCTTATCATGAATGTGTGAGAAATTCATTACTTTATCTATGAAAATTATTATTCTTAATCGTGGTTTCTCTGTGTAAGAAACTTACGGAATTATGCTTCAGATGCAGTTGAAGAAATTTTTAGAAAAGAACACTTTTTAAGGATGTTTTCCACATTATAAATCATGATGTAAAGGTTTATGGGTACCATTGTGAATAAGGTAACAAATGGAGGATCTCTATAGCTTGAAACAGACCCTTTCAACATGGGGATCTTTGATTTTCTTTGTCATTAAATGATAAAGAAAGGATCAAATTAAAGCAATTGATGTAATTTGTATATTCTTGTCAAAATGTCACTCTTTATTGCAACCTGAAAATTGATATGATGACGTTTATAAGCAGTCATAAATTTGGTGATTTTAAATTTGTAGAAAGAGACCCCGATTAAAACTAATTGATTGCAATATTTGTGACAATGGATTACTTTCTTTGTGGGTAACCCTGTAAGTGAACTTAACCTATTACAATAGCTATATATTTCATATTTCATACTGGTTAAAAACTTTGTTTTGATGTCTGTACATTTGTGTGGATTTATACATAAAGTAATAGAAAATTAAAAGAGTGGTGTAAGTAATTATTTATTTATAAATAGTAGCTTGGAAACCCAGCTTTGCCTGGCAAATAAATTTCTCTAAAATATTTAACCAACTCAACTTAGACGACTTAGACATCTTAAAGTTAAACCAAGCTAGGAATATGGATACACAAACAAACAGAGATTACTACTTTATATATTTATAGATACCAAAAAATACAAAAAAAGGGCATTAAAGGAGATAGGTTGACAAATAAACACAGCAAATTATATCAAAAATCAAGACGACATTCAAGTCCTCTTGCATACTGTCATGTTTCGTGGGACACCCTGTACATAAAAAAGAAGAGGGAAATTTTCTCAGAAGCCATTCTATTATGACATCAAAATACAGAGAACAATTATAAATTTACATTTGTTGAATAAATATCTTATTATTAATAATGTTAATTTAGAATAAGAAAAACTTGACACATCGAAAATGGGTAAATTTTATTAAAATAAAGTAATAAACCGTGGATAAAGGGGAGGAGGTGAAGAGACGCCATAGCATCTTAACATGACAGACCAGATTTTTTAAATAATAAAACAGAAAATCGCTATAATTACCAGGAAAAACATTCTGATATAAATCGTTAATAGAATAAAATAATTGGTTCACAAAAACGGCTTTCAGTTAAAAATCATGCTGGATTTGAATTAATCGAAATTGTCGAAAAACTTTTGGTTAATTTTAATCGAAATCCTAATCCATACAAGCCTAACAAAAACAACGACGACATTTATTTCAGGAAATCCGGTTCTGAATATATCTAACGAATTTACTTACTATTACTCCGGGGGGTTTGTGTGATCTGTGTACACTGCCCATTTTTCATTCAATTACAAAAAGTGAAAAATTGAGCTGTCAAAATTTAAAGATCTTGTTTTGATAATTTTAATGGTCCTGCTACGTTTTCAGTGAAATTTTAACGTCTATTGTAAAGTTAGAGTTTTCAAGATTACTTTATGTATATTGTAATTTCAGTTTAAATGCGACGTGATTCATATTTCTAATCTTATATGCTAGTTTTGATTGTATTAAAGGAACTAAAGTAATGGTTGGAAAATTAAAATAATAATTTCTTAGAGAACAATTTTTGGACCCCACCCCCCTAAAAATCGTTCACTGGGACGGACCCGCGCCTGGCGCCATGACCTCTCCTAGCCGCGGCGCTCGGCTTCCTAGCTTGTCTTAGCCGCTCCCTAATCTGTCCCAGCCGCAGCGCTCGACCAAGAAATTGTCCCAACCTAGTTCCTAAACTTGCAATAATACAAAATAAATATTTTTTGTTTAAAATAGTTGAAATGTACAGGTCATGTACAAAATCGATATGGGGTTAGGGGTACAAAAAGTGTAAACTATTACGGATCCCTTTAAGTTCTTCTTCTCAAATACTTCATTGAACAGCAAAACAAACAAAAAATTAAAAAATTATAAAACTATAAAGTGGCTTGTTCGCCCTAAATATTTTCAGATAATAACGAACTTGATTAGATATTCAATGAAAGAAAAACTAGATATAGAACTTTTAAGAAATCAGCAAAAATTATGGATTTATGAATTTACAAAGTGGCTTGGTCGCCCTAAAAATTTTCAGATAAGATAACGATCTTGATGATTAGATATCAAACGAAAGAAAAACTTAAAGTAACAGTTGTTATTATAATAATAATTTTTTAGAAACAAATGCATTTCTTAATAGTTGAAAATAAATGTCCTGATCAGTAAAAAGCCTGTAGCTTAATTTTTTTATGGTCCTTAATTCAAGTCCAGTTTTTGAGAATATTCCCGTTTCACGAATAGTTGAGAATTTAACGATGCAAGGCCAAGGGGTAACATTTAGTAATTTTTACTTACGCCCCCTCTCTTCTCCTCCACCCATTGAATGTGTGCAATTTGACGCCCATATTAAAAAATGAGTATTTTAATTTAAAATTCGGTGATGGTGATGGACCAAACCTCTGTAGAGTAAAAAGTAAATGTTAGTTCCACATTTATTGAAAATATATTTCTGTCTTGGTTGACCCTCGTCAGTTCTAACGATATAATAACCATCAAAATCGGTAAATAAAAAAAAATAAAAAAATGTTTGTTAAAAATCACAAGAAAATAAACAAACAAAAAAGATTATTCAAAATAAAAATTTGGGCTGTCAAATGGACATAAGGGAAACGAACTCAGATTATGAGATGGGAAAAAGATAATTTGCAAATATTCACTTTTTGAAAAAATGTTTTAAGACAATTATCATTCCTTGAGATTGTTTCTGTCACAAAGGTTAAAAACAAACTGTTTAGATGTATGTGTATAAAGTGGGGGTGGGGGTCGAACTAATTAACGAACTTTTGCATAAATGGGGGGGGGGGGGGGGGGGACGGCTTGTTTAAGGAGGGGTATTTGAACCTTTTAAAGAATTTGACATAAACAACTCTTTTTTTAAAAAGATACTGAATTACAGTTTAAAATTAAATAAAAACTATGTTTTTCTTTATTTTCATGATGAAATTTTAGGTCGTATGTCTTGAAATTTTATCTAACCGTTCACGCGTTGGTCATGTCATGAACACATTTGTGTAAGATGACGTAATCAATTAACCATTTTATAGCAATGGTAAAATTTAGGTTCTGTAAGAGAAAGATTCTTTGACCCCCCGCGCACCCTCACTAAAAAAGTACACACACAATTATAAACATTTGGCTTTAGCGCCCGGCCCTCAAGTCATTCCTATCTGCGTCGCTCGGCGTTTTGCTTAGAAATTACCCTAATATATTTTTCTCAAATAATGCTTAATATTTTATGTAACATTTTTTTATAAATAATCTGTCTCTAGGATTGATTCGTAATTTCTAGTATGATTAATTTTAGTGTATATAAAAGTAGAATAGAAATTTTTTAATTTTTTAAATGTGTAATAATGTTAAATGAAAATTGTCTAATAATAATTTTTTTTACAGAATTTTAAAATGAAAAGTGAAGTGAGAAAGGAATTGAAGCGTGATATCTAATGTGATAGGATCAATAATTGATCGTACTGGCCTAAAGCTCAATTGCATTGCTTAATTGATTAAATTGATTAATTGATCATTATGTCGGTCTCGTTTGATCACACAGATAAAACAAGGTACATAAAAAACTGAATATTTTTTACGAAAAAGATGAAAGTTTGATTTTTTAAAATTTTGCGGCATCCTAAACATTAGACTGTTATTTTATTAACTTTATCAATATTTTTCCCTGAAATCTAACTTGAATTTTCCCCTGAAATCTAACTTGATATTCTGAAAAATAAGTTAAAGTTGAAAAAAAGGGGAAAAAAGGAGAGCATCAAAAAAATCCAAATATTTTCACTCATACTCAAACACACAGGGTTACCCATAAAGGATGAGACTTTAAAGAAGACCTGAAACTTTTAAGAACAGCTTAGGTTAAATTAGGTCGAAAAATCTCAATTCATGGGTCTCTTAAAAGACCGCTTTGAAATGGAGAGTAAAAATGCTGTAATTTTAAAATTCGTCAATACTGGACGAAAAAAAAATAAGTCAAAGATTTGTTTTTGATTGAAGGTTAAAGTCCCAAAAAAATGTCCTCCCCTTTAAAATTCAAACTTGTCATATTTAAATTAATATTACAGAAAACTGTCTCATGGGTGCTTAAATTTGTGTGCTTCTTGCAAATCTGGTTGAACCAATCAAGCAATCGAGATTTGAAAATTCTTTTTTAAATGAACTTTCTTTACTGTTTACCTCAGGGGTATATATTTTTCAGAATTATAAGGGGGATTTTTCATAAAAATACACCCCTGGTTTTCTGTAAATTCAAGAAAATGTTGAAAACTGTGGACTTGTTTTTTCATAATTTTCATTTGTTTTAGGTATGTGCCTTTCTTTAGTAAACCGGATAAAACGATACTCAAGGGGGGGGGGGGCTCGAACCTCCTTCCCCCCATCTCTATCATATATAATTTGATGGTATGTATAGTGTATCGGTTTTGATTTCAAAACTGTATTATTATTAAAGTTTGCTTTTATCATAAAAAATCTAAAAAGTGGAAAAACGATCCATAGACGATCGTTGGCAGGGTTTTCAGGGTGGCCGAAATGTACGGAGTGTACGGAATGTGCGGATAATGTCTCAAATTGTACGGATTTTCAGGATTTTTGGCCCGGAAAGCATAATTTTTTTTTCGATTTTGACTCTAAAGTTAATTCTGGCATGAAAATTGTTCATGAAATTTTCTAAAAAAAAAAAGTCTCGTCGATATGAAGTTCAGCTTCATTCATCTTTTCGAGAATATGTTTCAGAAGTATTCATTCGAGAACATTTCCCAGAAATACATGATGTCCCACAAAAAAGCTTTGCAGTAGGGGTACTTGGTACTGAAGGAACAATTTTCGTATAATTTTCACAATCAAGGTGTTATTGAATGATTGAAACGCTAAAAGCGTCAGTTATTTCCAGGTGTACATTTTTTCTTTCTATGTCTCATAGTTTTTTGTTACAAAGCTAATTTGTAATTTTTTTTACCAGATTTAGATTAAATATTTTTGATGTAAACACAAGCTGTGGAATATACAGATTGATAAAAAATAGATAATTTTTTCGGCTGAGCAAAGTTCGCATGAACTAATCTGAAAATCTGTCAATTTTTTTAATAATTTAAGAACAATTGAAAATAGAATGTGAAAAATTAACTGGAAAATACCGGTCAATTTCTTATACTTAAAGAATTTATTGTAACATATGTGAGGCCCAGAAAGAATAGCATTCTTAAACTAAAGAATTATGGTCCATTATGAACGGAATGGGATTACTCTTCAACCTTTTTTTTATAATGCAGTCCGTTCCTAAATATGAAATTTCTTTTTTTTCATTTAAAATTCAGATAAATCTGAAAATGATCAATTACCCGAAAAAAAAGTACAAAGAATCGGACTTTAAAAAGTTAAAACCAACCAATGCTGGTTTTCTTGTCATGTTATACACGTACCAATAAACATAGGAATTAAGAAGTCGTCATCATTTACGTGTACATGTTTTAAGATTTCCGAAATGTGGTCTGCCTTCGTTGAATCTTTACAATTGAAATTCAAAGACTTTCCTAAAGTCGTCATTTAATTCCCATGTTTATTGTAAACACTCTGTAGACTGTCGAGGGTTAATAAAATGCAAAAGATTTCACAAAAATCATCCTGACTTGAACTCTTATAAAATTCTACTTAAATAATACATAGGGCTATTCATTATTGCTAAGAAATAAGGAAACCCATCCCAGTTCAGAAAATAAAAAGAATAGCTTACATAATAGTACAAACATGAAAAAGCAATGAAATTTTTAATTGCATTTTTTTTATTTAATCGTGATTTTTCTCATTCGACTTTTATCATCTGTACACTGCACAGTGTACCATTATATGTACATTGTACAGAGGTCATTTTGGATTCAGACAAATTTTAAAGTAAAGGTCAGCCTTTGCTCACATACGAACGCAAAGAAAAATAAATGTTAATTGAAATGAGAAATTAAAAAGTGCGTTTTGTACGGATTTTTCAAAGAAAATGTACGGATTGTATGGATTTTTATTTTAGAATTGTACAGATTTTTTCTCATAAATGTACGGATTGCACGGATTTTTTTTTATAAAATCTACGGATTTTTGCCTAAAAAGTTTTGGCCACCTTGTCGTTATCATACATTCGTTTTTGCATCGTTTTTGGGTAGTTTTTAAGAAAGGCAAATTTAAAGAATAAAAAATATAGAAACAAATTTCTCTTCTTACATTGTGCCAAATTTTGACCCATGAAAGAAACTGTTGTAAAAAACGAACCAACCCAAAAGCACATCCCTATGTATGTACAACTTTCGCTTTAAGAACCTCTGCATTGATTGAGAGATGTGAGGCCATGATTGAATTTGTTGTTAATATTGAAACAACATATATTGCTCATGTCTTTAAGGTGCAGTGTGACATGGTATTGTTTGGAATAGGGGGGGCGATTAATTTTTTGTCCCCCGCCCTTTTCGTCAATTTCATCCGCCAGATTAAAATTTTTTTACTATTTTAATCGCTAAATTGGGTTAATTTTTTAAAATATATACCCCTGTGGTATATTCAAAACATTGATAAACATTAATCAGTTTATTTCTGCGCTTGGCTTCCTGGATCCGGATCCGCAAATATATGCAGAATGCGGATCCACCAACATATCAACTGAAATCTGCTAACAAAGATCCTTCTCCTCAAAACCCAGATCTGAACTTTTCATAGAAAGAGAGATTATCAAAAATGTACTTTTCTCTGAATGGTTGATTAAGTTTAAGGGAAAAAGGAAGCAAGATTCCTAGCTCTCAAGCAAATATTGACGAGAATTTTGCCAAATACTTATTTAAAACTAAATCTGAAAACGAGTTTTGAAATGGCCATGTTTAGTGCTGTAAACAAGTATAAGTGAGTTGCCAGTCGGATCGCTACGAGGGTGCTAGAGCGTCGGGAAACCCGTCGGTCGCAGGTTGCAATTTAAACTGCCCTTAAATAAAGGTTTACACCTTAATGTCGACCCACTCTTGGATCTTCATTCTTCGAAATTGAATATATTTAAAAAAAAAGACAGTTTCCATTTTAAACATATTTTGGCTCTGCTTTGTTTTTATAGTTTGTAACTTAAATGCTTTCTTTGGTTTGGAATGTTTCAGTTTGTTTCATGTGAAGGTTGTTTGTTCGGTTTGGAGAGTTCCAGTTTTTTATCTATGAAGGTTGTTTTGTTTGATATGTGCCAGTTTTGTTTCTAAAGGTTTTTTGGTATGTTCCAGTTTGGTCTCTGAAGGTTGTTTGGTATGTTCCAGTTTGGTTTATATGAAGTTTGTTTGGTATGTTCCAGTTTGTTTTATATGAAGGTTGTTTGGTATGTTTCAGTTTGGTTTATATGAAGGTTGTTTGGTATAAATTTAAAGTTAAGAAAACTAACCAAATGGTTTCAGTTTCAACTGGTCACCATACCAACGTAAAATTCGTCAAACCGACATTTGGAAAAAAAATTTATCATCCCCTAAAATATTTTTTTTTTTAATGTCACCTTTTAAACATCTTTTTTTTCAAACCATTGATAATTATTAAAAAGATTTAGTTTTTTACTTTGGAGGATTTTGTTGAATTGTATAATTCCCGGATTTACCCCATGGTAAATTTCTCAATTGGTGAACAGGTGGGAGCGTGGGAAATATAATTAAAAGGGGGGGGAGGGTACAATTGTACGCTATTTTTCATTTCATATTAGGACTATTTAACAAACCCTACAGGAAAAAGTGAGCCAATTGTATTTATCACATTTCTTTGTATAACGTTAAAAAACAAATACAATCAAGACGTATAAAGTTAATATCTAAAGGGTACCATTGTGAATCGTGATTAGCACTCGAAAATGAAAGTTACTCTGTAAGTGCAGAACTCACTGATAAATTTCACTTATTTCTGACAATCTACGCCTGTTAACTAAGAAATGTATATTCTTCCGCTTAAATCGATTTTGAGGAAAAACTTAAATTAGACACAAGCTCAGTGCAGCTTATAAATGTTCAAATCAAGAGCTAACTTACTTTTAAACAGGCGAGGGGCGGTCAAACAGGCGAGGGACGGTCAAACTTGGGACAAAAGTCTGGCACCGCTTCAGAGTCGGCGCAGTCTTAATATTTCACTAAAAATGAAGGAAAAATTTAATACAAGTTTTTTATTTTAATTTTAGTATTTATCATATGGCAAGTTCAGTTGGACTCTGTTCTGTAAAGCATGACTTTTGACGGAAAAAGACCTGGCAGTTTATTTAGTCAAATTTCTTTAGATTTACCATAGCCAATCTTTAAATTAGAATAATATTACAATTTAAAAAATGTCCAATTAAAAAATAAAAACGACTCTCTTTTTTTCTAACTTTTCTGAAAAATTAGGCTTCTTTGCTATTTTTTATGCCTTTTTGGTTTTCTTCGAAACAATTAATTTTTCATTTTAAAACTTTCAAAATTGATTGAAATTTGCAAATTTGTGATTTTTTTCCAAGTGGAATAAAATTTATTCTAGTAATTTTGCCATAAACGTTTAAAACATACCTATGCATTTAAAATAATAATTTAAACGATTTTTTATCTCAAGTAATTGGTTCAGTGACATAATTTTTGTTGGAGAAGAAAAAAACATGAAATGAAAAATAAATTCGGCTTAAGAGGGTTCATTTCTTAGTTTGTTACCAAGTTGCTACGTGTGACGCCTGACGCACGGTTTCATACGCTCGTATTGGACTCTTACGCACATATTGGATTAGTCTGTGCGCACAAGTCAACAGAACAACTGATCGTGAAATAAGCGCGTGAATTCAAATTCAGGCAGAAATAAGACCAATCTTAAAGGGACTGTTAAGTGTAGTTTTAAGTGACTCTCCATGCATAGATGGTATTGTCCAATTCTCAATGGTACCCTTGAAACCTTTCTTTGATCAATAATAAAAGATATTGTTTTCTTTGATTTTTTAGTTATAAATTCTGATAACTATGCGCAAATCACTTTTATAGATAAATCACAATTGAAGTATCAGTTCTCCAAACAAACATTAGAATATCTTGTTCATAATTGATTAGATACAGCTTCTAAGGGTACCACTGTGAATTGTACAGTTTTATATTGCATGAAGGGTCACTTGAAAGCACTGTCAATTTAGTAATAATGTTTTTGAATACAATAGAATAAAATAATTTTTGATATTTGATATTTAATAATTATATTTTAAAAATAGTTGGTTAAATTTTCATTTTCCTTAAATCTTGGAAATATTGAGAAAAGGAAAAAAGGTTTTAAATTCTAAACTTTCAGACCCTGCTTTTCACATTCAGTTTGTTAAACCGACCTTTTAAACTTTAGTCCAGATAGACAGATAGATTACAACCTTTTTAGATTATAATATTTAATTACTTAGCTAATTGTTTATTTACACTCATACAGGGTGTCCCTAAAATTGTTTTTATACTCTCTAAAAATGGGCAATCTCATTTTAGGGCTTAAAGGGACTGGACGCGTAATTTCAAGTGACCCTTCTTGCAAAGATGGCAATTTCCGATTCACAACGATACCCTTTAAATCTTTTTTCTGATTAAGTATGAATCAGATATCAATGTGTATAAATTTTAAAACTGATTATTTTAATTGTGGTTTCTCTCCAAAAGTATCTTACGCATTAAAACTGCAGGAAACCATATAGAAATTATCAGAATTATCACTTAAACCTGAAGAAACGACAATATCTTTCATATTGTTGATCAGATTAATGTTTCAAGGGTATCGTTGTGAATCCGACATCGTATGGAGGTTCATTTGAAATTACGCTTACAGTTAGTTCCTTTCCTTTAGAAATTTTAACATTTAAACTTAATTCATTGAAATTTATTCTGAAAAAATAGTTCCCGGACATCCTGTATCGTATAGGGTTTTTTGGACACCCTGTAACAGATTCCTAAATGTCAATAAGGGACACCCGGTAGGATTTAGAATTTTATTTTCATCTAGATTGAACTGAGAGAACTGAGAAGAACAGATGGGATGATTTCATAATATCTTAAGATTGAAGTGCAGGGGTGTATATTTTCATGAAAAATCATTTGACCCCCGCCCTTTTCGTCAATTTCATCCGCCAGATTAAAATTTTTTTACTATTTTAATCGCTAAATTGGGTTAATTTTTTAAAATATATACCCCTGTGTAGACATGTTGGTAGATAAGTAGGTAGACACGTTTGCAGATAAATAGGTAGACGCGTTTGTAGATAAGTAGGTATACAAGTAGCTTGACATGCAAGTAGACACGTAGGTAGACACGTAGGTAGATATATTGATAGACACATTGGTAGACAATTAGGTAGACATGTAGGTAGACACGTTGTTAGACACGTATGTAGATAAGTAGGTAGATAGGTAAGTAGGTAGGCAAGTAGGTAGACACCTTTGTAGACACGTTGGTAGACAAGTATGTAGATAAGTATGTAGATATATAGGTAGATAAGTAGGTAGATGAGTAGGTAGATGAGTAGGTAGACACGTAGGTAGACACGGAGGTAGAAACGTAGGTAGACAAGTAGGTAGACAAGTAAATATACAAAATGAAAAGTTGATTGACAGATTGAGGTATGGGAAAAAAATAGACATAAAATTTAATTGATCATTAAATAAAATGGAAAATTTTAAATAAAAAATTCAAGGATAAGTTTTCTGCAATTGCTTGAAGTGGGCAATAAAAAAAAACAAAAAAATTCTATTTTAGATTGATTTTTATTTCTGATTTCATAGAAGAAATACGGGAAATCCCCAGGAAAAGTGAGAAAAATAACAAAAAAGTGATTTCGTGTACAAACAGTGGCAACTTAGAATAAGTAAAGTGACAAATAAGTGATGACGGCACTTGCAATGACATCGGATATTCTAATTCCAAATATTACCAAAGTTAACATCAGGAAAAATATATATTAAAAACAAAATTTCAATTTTCACTTTAAATATCCTTCCTCTGAATTTTTAAAATAAACTTTTACTTATTGAAATATTTCAGATATTTGAATTATTAAATTCATTCATTCGTCATTCATTTTTTTACAAGTAATTGCAGATAAAACAGCACCCATTTATTCATATTTCATGGTTTTTTAAAGTTATCAATGATTATTTGTATCACCATGTTTATTTTTATTATTGTTGTTGTGGATGTTATTATTTTTATGTCACGTTGTTATTTTTGTTAATATTTCTATTATTTTTTATTTCATTTCTTTTGGTATTTTAACTAAGATTTAAGAAATTACAATTATTATTATAAAAATCAATTATATCATTACCTTATCACTATTTCTACAGTTTTGGATAGTTTAATAATTAAAATGAGTATAATTTTATTTTATTAATTTCAATTATCACCATCGTATAAGTTGTTTTCAATTGTTTAATTACTTTACTCTAATTATGCTTGTAAAGTGGTTTTAAGGGTTTCCTTAACATATTGAAAATATAAAGTCAATTTCCTGCTGCGCAGTTTTTATTTTTGCACTTTAATCCTTTTTGATCAGTTCTCTGCCAAAACTTCTTTCAAATATGATTTCCATTGGGAATATTGAAATTTAATCTTTTTGACCATTTTTTTATAATAAATAAGTCTAAAAACTTTGAAGTGAGTTCCAAAAAAGAGTTATTTCAAGTAACCTTAAACTTTAAAATTTTGCAAGGGAAAAGTTTTTTATCTTTAAAAGTGTTTAATTATGAATATTATCTTCTTTCTCACCTGTTGGTATATAGGATTACCCACTCTTTATGCTTCATATAGGTTGAATTTACTTTTACTAAGGGGCAGAGGTGCGTGTCCGAATCACTGATTAAAATATCTATTGAATGAACTAATAAATGTTTTCTGAAATGAATGAATAAATAACATAAAAAGTGAATAAGTAAATCAATTCATATTACTGATGAATGCATAATAAATAAATTAGTATAAAATCCATAAAAATCTCATAAAAATAGATAAAAAATTTATATTCTTAATGTATTAAATTAATGAAGAAAAAAATTATACATAAAGATATATCATAAGTAAGGGATTTTAATAGAAATACATTTAAAGTATATAGACAGAATAGAATACTGACTTTAATCAAAAGTAAAATAAATAAATGTTATTTTATACGAATGAATTAATAGATGAAAAGAAAATTAATATTATATATAGTCTTTCATAGGGGATAAAACCAGTTTATAGAAAAGCAAAATTAAATTAAATTAAAATTAAAGTAAGTAAATGAATATTTTATCACTCGAATGAATGAATGAATGAATGAAATGAATTATATCAAAAATAAATAAATGTTTTATATTAAAAATATATGATCAGGGATAGTCAAGATGCGTTAATAGAATCAGTTTATAGAATATCATCCGAGATTCTACATCATAGATGGCTTCATAAACAAACGTAAGTTAGCCCCCCCCCCCCCCTAGTAGTAAAACAACGTATTTTTTGTCATCACACGATCGTTTGTATCGTTTTTTATGCTTGACTTGAAGTAGTTGAATTATATACAATTGGTTCAACTACTTCTTATCAAAAGTAGTTCAGCAATCTTTTTGGAACAAAATTTGATAAATTTCTTGATGATAATATGGAACTGGGCTAGTTCATAATAACTCCAATGGAATCGAGTCTTTGTCACAAACTCGGATTTTCTAATTCCTATATGTTTGCAACCATAGACATTTTACAATATGAACTTAGATTATATTTTATAATTAATTTTTTACGATTTTTTTAATAGATGGTATAAGACAGTAAATGCCACACGTCTGTAGCATTCTTGTAATAACAGCTTTGATTTCTTTTTTCACTCCTGGATTTTTTCACTTGTTGCTATTTAAACCATCCTTCGTTGACGCCTTTAGAATTTTTAAATTTTCTTTCTGTTACCTTGATGCGCTATTATCTTGTTGCTAGTGTTGTAACTTGTTATTAGTGTCCGGGGTTTAATTATTAGAATTGAAATCAATTTGAAGTCGAAATATTCATAACCATAGTATTCCTCAATTAAACTAAATTAAAACTTTGATTTCTTACATTAAATTATGATGACTTGCATTAGATTTTAAGCTTTATTATTTATCAGTACTTAGGATCCGGATCCTTTGGATCCGGAAGATTTTGGCTTCCTGGATCTGGATCCGCAAAAATATGCGGATCAACGGATCCAGATCCAAAAGTTAAAATATCAACCAATAACTGCCAAAAAAAAAATTACTTCTAAAACCCAAATCTGATTTTTGAGAAAAGAGAGATTATGAGAATTTCCTCATTTCTGAATGTTTCAACAAGTTTTAGGATAAAAATAAAACTAAACATTTGAAAATTATTTTTTTGTTTAAGAAATTTAGTAAAGGAATGACCTGGATCCGGTCCGGATCCATTTTTTCCAGTGCGGATGCAGGATCCGGATCCAGATCCGCATCAAAATTAAATGGATCCTAAGCACTGTTATTTATATTATCAAACTTAATCTTATATTTTATGTGTCCGCATCGCTTTTTTATGTACCCCCTCCCCCTTTCAGGTATCATCCCCTTTCTTGAGCCCCTATACCATCTCTGCCACTGTTTGTCTACTTCTGCATTACTGCATATTAATCATATTTCTTTTCCTATTGTCTAAACCCGTAGCACTGGTATATTCAAGATATAAGCCTATAGTGTGACCCCAAAACTGTGGAATAGGAAGACGACATTTGATTCATTTTATTTGTATTTAATTNGACAATACCATTTAATTACATTAGTACTGATAGGAACTAGCGTAATTAAAACAATGACAAAGATCGTGAACTGTTTTTTGTTGCAAAAACTTAGTTTCTGTTCAAACTTTAAATTTTTATTTCCACACAAATTCCCCCTTTTATTTAACTTTCTTCCGTATAAAAAAATTCGCGGATTTCGTGATCTTATTTGCGCGGAATAGGCCCCAAAATTTGTTTCTGGTGGACACCTTAGTTTAACCCTAGGCCGACTGGACACGGTGGTTTCACATATTCAAAACATGAATATTAAGATTTATTTCTCAGCTTCAATTTTAAAGAAGTAATTGGAAAATCTAACGGTATTTTTACCTCTCTACTTAGTAAAAAGTGTACAACGTGTACATAATACATATTACATAGTGTACAATGTGCTTAGTACAATGTACATTGTTGTACAGTATACAATGTACAATAGGCATGCCCCACAAAAAAGCCATATTATTTTTAAATCAATTTTAAACTTTAAAACGTTTATTAACCCGATACAGTTTTTAAGGATTTTCAAAATCAAAATCAAAGACTTAACAACAAACGATTAACCACCCGGATACTTTCGGTACAAACTGAAAAATATGGTGTAGGGGGTGGGCTGGGGGAGGGAGTTCTTGAAAAATTACTCTTATTCGTCCAACTTTTCCACCATATGCCTACTATATGGAGCAAGTAAACAAGTAAACCTACCGCAACGTTTCATTTATTATAATTTTAAGCATTAATACATGATAAAAACTTAGCAGAGGAAACTTTAAACTATTTGTTTTCTACCCTGCAGTACAATACAGGGCAGTTATTGCCAAGCTGTTTTTAAGGTTGAGATTTTTTATAAGTTCCCTCATGAAACATAATTTTTACGGTTTTCTTCGCTAAACTTGTGAAAAAAGAATATTTTTTGGGGAAATTAATAAATGTTTTGGTAAAACGTATCAAAAAGAAAAAAGCTTGCCCTTTATGCCCAATTTTTCACCCCCCTCCCCTAGATGATTAAATGATGAATTACTTGAATTAATGATTCTGCCAATGAGCATGACACGTTCGTGATAACTCTGCTAAAAAAAATCCGAAGTTTCTTTATTTGAATTATTTACTGTTATTAACGATTTTGTTTTGTAGACAGTTGCTAAGGATACAGATTTTATTTGCTTTTCGGATTTGGATCAAAATTTATTGATTCGACTTTTTCGTCTGTTTCTAAAAAACGTCAAAACTGCTCACATGACCTTTGGAAAGGTTTGTTTTAATCTATCAATGTTTACAGAAAAATTCGCAAAACAAATACATACAAGAAAAAATGGCCCCATGAAAAGCAACATTTAAACGCTAAACTTATTGTTAAGTAAGGTATGCGGAGCGTCCTGAAAGCTTAGGACATATATTCGCATATACTGCGTCCTTGGATAGAGATCAAGGTATAGAGTGACATCTGCATCACTTCGTGATAAACTAGACCATGATAAACTACAGTTTTACAAAACAAATTCCTTTCCATAAAATACTAATTCTTACTTCTTTTACAGGGTTTTAAGTTGTAAATTAATTTTAAGTCATCTTCCCTGCACAGATGGCAATGTCCGATTCACAATGGTAGCTTAACAGCTTGTTCTGATCATTGTTCTTATTTTTCAAAACTGTTTCTCTACGGTTTCCATACTAAAGTGACTTGCGCATTTCCACTGCAGGAAAACAAAGAAATTATTAAACACTTGAACACATGACCAAACGGCAATATTTATGAAGGTTTCAAGGGTACCATTGTGAATCAGGCATTGACACCTTTGCATGGAGGCTCCCTTGAACACATGACCAAACGGCAATATTTATGAAGGTTTCAAGGGTACCATTGTGAATCGGGCATTGACACCTTTGCATGGAGGGTCCCTTAATATTACGCTTACAGTCCCTGTAAGCAACTTAGGTAGAGATGAAGTAATTCAACCTTAATATCGCTACATTTGAAAACTAAAATTTTATCTTTTATTTCTCTCTGTAAATGTAACTTCAAGTAAAATATAACTTTTATTTAAATTATGCTTTTTATAAAACATGAATGAATTTCTGAGGAAAATTTCTGAAAAAAAACACATTTAAACTTAAAATTAAGTTTTTTATTCTTTCCAAATTTTTGAAATTCATCTTTCACACTTAGCATTAATTTCTTTTTGTATTGTCGCAGTGTGACATAAAATAAGGCTTAACTCGGAAATGTCTCCAATTTTGAACAATGATACGTCACATTCAACACCTTAATGGGACTGTGGTATATACTAAGCAAAATGGCAAGAATTTAATTTCAATCTTTTTCTTGGATTTCAAAAAAAATAATTATTTTCATTTTCCTTCAAAGGGCTGTATAAGCGTAATTTCAAGGGACCCTCCGTGACTGTTTGATGTTAACAGCGTTTCAAGGGTGAAGTTTCTTTTTCTTCAACTTTCAGGCTGTAAATATTGATATTTATTTTATGTAACAAATTGTTAAGGAAATAGAAGCTTTTCAGTAGATTACTAGGGATATGTGTCAAATGTGTAAAAGGTCTAAAAAGAGGATTCTCCTCTTCAATTAAAATATCACAATAACACTTGAAAGCTGACATTTTTTCTTCTCCAGAATCTCTGTTATAATATATTAAAGTTTTTGTGTACTTGAGGTTTTGAAGTGTATTCTAGTGTGTTTAAGTTAGGTTTAAATAAAATTTTATATTTAGGTATTATACACAAAATATTTGTCCATTGGGCCCCATAAAAATCGGTTTTCCATTGATGTGTATGTTAGAAAAGTACATTTTTAAGAATTTTCAAACTTTTGATGTGGTAAAATATGACTAGCAATTTTCTATTTTTATGGTTTGAAAAAATTATTTAAAAATCAAACCCAATTTGAAAATCATTTGGAAATCATCTTTTCCTCCAGATATGTTAGGTATGTATAGGTTTTTTTCGCGAAATTTGGAAAACAAATTAATCAATGAAAGAAATGGAATAAAAAAGAATGATATAAACATGATGACCAATTTTATTATTTTTTCCCCTAAGATCTTAAAACATATTTTTTCCTTTCCCCAGGGGGGGGGGGGGATTTCATGAAAACACATACCCAAAAAAATATATCTGTAAAAGTGAAAAGACATTTATATTCTATGAAGAACTTCAAAACTTTCTGTTCGTATAGCTTTTGCCGGCCAAACCGTAATAGACAGATTTAGCAAAAAAATGTTGAATTTTCCCCTTTAGGTAATTTAAGTTCGGGGACATAGATTTTTATTATTTTTATCAATGATATTATTTTATCACTCGAAGGGTATTCCGCCCCAGAAAAATAAAAAATTGAGATCAATCGAAAATGTGAATTAGAAAAGACAACTTATGATATCGCACTTTTTTTGACTCACCCTGTATATTGGTAATTAATATTAAGACTACGTTTTGTATTTAATTATTAAACAATTAGTGAATTATGAATGGATGTATCTGATCCTAATCTTGAATCATGATATACGCCCAAATATTAATATTCGTCTTATCATGTTTAAATCAAAACAACATAACGGAGATCTTCAAAATTACTTCAGCGTATTTGATTTTTTTGGAATCCCCCCTCCTTCCTCCCTCTAACTCAGCTTTGGAGCGCCACAAGTATGAT